ACCATCTCCTGCCCTCCTCTTCCACAGGGTCAGGAAGTTTACAAAATGAGGGCCCCTTCAGCCCCAGTTGCTCAGTGAAACTTCTGAACTTCCCAGGTTGACAAAATGTATCAACTGCTAGAATTACTTGATTTTTAAAGCCACAAAATGGCAAGTAAAAAGATAGTTTGAAGTATGATTTTAATTATTAGCACCTGATAATTTACTTATTGTTTGTGATTTTCCTCTTTGACCATTCAAGATAATAAATTTTGGTTCTTTTTATTTCTGATATAGTTGTTACTGGTGTTACAGTTCTGCTCAGTGTTGTCCTGTCCTTCTTTCCTGTGAATCAAGCCCTTTGGAGTCCTCAGATACTAAAGATAAACCTCAGACCACATGCCAAGCAGAATCTCAAGAGACTGTTAGCCATATGTTATACCACAGAATATGGGAGGCAGCCAAAGCATCCTAATCTTGGCCCAACTCAGAGGAAAAAGATTTCACAAAAATCCTATGCATTCTCAGTTTATCTCCTTCCCAGGTCCATCACTCTTCTGGAGCAAAGAGAGCAGGTAGGGAAGTGACCAGTGCTGCACTGGCCAGAGACCTTAGTTCATCCTTTGATCTTATAAGATTTAATGCCACCAATGTCCCTGACCTTTCTAGAGCACATTTCCTGAGTTTATATAACAGAGCAGGCAATGCTCTTGAGGGAGGTGAGACTCTTCCATCTGTTCTTCTTGAAGGCTGTGTCCTCTTCCTATCTGCTTGGCAACTCTGGGCTCCTTGCTCCTTTCAGGCTGCTGCACCTGCTGCTTCCCTCTGCCTGTGGTTAGCATCCCATCTTCTGTCTTTCAAATTTCTGCTTTCAGGAATACCTTCTGACCTCTCAGGTCTCCAATCAACTGGCTTTCTTTCTTCATGCCCTTCCCAAACTTAAAAATGTACCCGAGTCACCCATGAATCTTGTTAAAATGCAGATTCAGACCCCATTGGTCTGGGGGGAGGCCTGGGATGTTACATTTCTAACAAATCTGTGCTGGTTCTGTTGCTGCTGGCACATGACCATAACGGATTAATTCCAGAAAGAGTAGGACTCTAAACGCAGCAGTTTGTATCCAGATGAAGGAAGACCTGGAAAAACCGCTGATGAACAGTTCTTAGAATCAGTGTAGACAAAAAGTGTTTAGTGGGAATAAAAGAAAAGACAAAGCAGCCTCAGGAAAGACTTTCTTGTTTGTCCCAGGAAGACGATGAACAGAGGAAGGCAAGCGGGGACGAGACAAGTTTAATCATATTCACAAGCTCAAGAGCAGGACAGATTTACTGATAGCCAGAGAACAGAGGAGAAAGAAAGTGCATAGCCAAACACTTTACAGAGGGACTGAAGGATGTCAAATATCTTAGGAAAAGGCATTGTTGAGCAAAAGAAGAAAAAATAAAATGTAAGCTAGAAACTGCATTAATCAGATGCAAGAGGCTAAAGAAAATGTGATAAAGAATAGGGAGCTAGAAAGGCTCCATTCTTGAGCATTTGCCCCTGTACATATTTGTGATCTAATTTACTTCTGTTATCATTTGGGGTTCTTCTCAGTTCTTTCTTACCTTGCTGAAGCAAACCTTGTTATACTGTATTTAAAGAGCAGTTGGAGAGAATCATAGATCAGGGAAAGAATGGGCTTCCTGTGTCACCAAATTTCTTTGTGGCATTTAGGAGAATGGCTTGCTTTGTTTTCTAGACCCTAGCTGGTGTCTTTTCTTGACAAGCATTTTCTACTTGGCTAAATTTGGGCTTAGAAATTTTGAAGCACAGTTGAATGTGGAATGATGTTAGGCATTGTTTCTTTGAGGGATAGTAACTTAAAAGCAAGTAGATATCATAATATACGAGACAAGCCTGCCTGCATGTCATTCGATGACATGTAGTTGTACTGGTGTTAAAATTGGGTTTCTGTGAAAAGTGCGCAGCAGACCGGATCTCCATACATGGAGTGGTAATGGGGATCAAAGACCACATCAAGTTATTCTCTTCCTAACAGAAGCAATTATAACAATTCTATCTGTTCTCTTCAGAGAGAACCTCAGTAAATCAAAGCCAGTTGAGAGCCTGAGCACTTATTTTCCAATACCTTCTGAAGTACGTGTAGAAACACACTTCATGTATTGTCTACTCATTATTCTTGAAGTTCTCTGTGTTCTGTCAGTGTCCTTTGAAATTTGGAAATTGTGCCTCCTGAAACACTTATTATACAGTATAGAAAATGGGCTTCTTAAAGCTCCTAAGGACCAGTCTCTCTCAAATGCCACACCACAGTGTGGCAGGCTTCTTTTTACCTATTCATTTAAGATTGCTTTGGCCTTTCTTCTTAATTTCACGCCTAATCAGAAGACACTCTGGCTAATTCCTCATAAAAGCCATTTGTCAAGGGAAATATATAAATTCTCTATCAGATCTAGGTCATAGCCCTCCTCCCCCCACCCCACACCATTGCCCTAGAGAAGAAAAAGCAAAGTGATTTATTTAAAATATCTGTTGATATATTTGGAGTACTTACCTTTTATATTTTGAAGTGCTTATTTTTTGCTGATATAGCCTCTCAGATGTTTTTCTTTTAGGAAATTGGAATTCATAGGGTTGCAGGACTTTTAAAGCTAGGAGAGAACATGGAACTCATTGAGGCCAACACTTGACTTTTGAGATGAGGAAACTGAGCAGGATTGGCATAGGATGAGGCAGAGGGACTGCATGGTGCAGGAGGGAAAGTGGTCCTTGCTCTGCACCACAGATGGAACCTGTACTTGCCTGGATATCTTGCATCTTAGACTCCTGGTTGGCTCTAGTCATGGTTCTGAACCTTGGGCCTATGCAGGTTAAATGGTTTGCCCTGGTCACCTGTCCTATTATTTGAGGGATGTTTCTCTTATCCTAAGTTAATGTCCTGACATTTGAACATGTTGCTAGGTTTAAGGGAGAGGATGAGGTAGGCTTTTATTCCTAAATAGTCTTCTAGACAAGAGTACTGTTTCATTGTGGCAGTGATATTTTCTTCGCTCAGCTTCTCATGAATTGTTAATTCCCTTTCACAAGGAATTAGAGGAACCATCTTCAGAGAACCTGCCTGAGACTCAGCCTATTCCTTCCCTGGAGCTCAGTGAACTTGAGTCAAGCATAGAGGATGCCATAGTTGACCTTGGATGTCATGGTATGTGTTTGCATCAGCTGTTAAAGAATCTTGGCTGCCTCTGTGGTGGTCCTGGCCAGCCTCTGAGAGAAATCCTGGGTGTGTGTGACCACTTGCCATTAGCTTGCCAGGACTGAGCTGGGACTGGTATAAAAGCAGTCAAGCCAAGGGTTTTTATGCCCTCTGTTATCATCTTCCCCTCCTCTTTCCTCTCCTCCTCCTCTTCTTCCTCTTTCTTTTCTTCCTTCTTCCTTCTTTTCACCTTCTGTTTTTTTTTTCTCAGCACTGGGGACTGAACTTAGGGCCTTCACATTGAGCTATTCCCTTAGCACCCTTTATCTTTTGAGATAGGGTCTTGCAAAGTTTGACAGGTTGTGCTAGAACTTTTATCTCCCTGCCTCAGCCTCCCAGAATGCTGGAATTACAGACACTCTATATCTTTCTAAAAATGGAGGTAAGCAAGAAGCTCACCTTGTGAGGCGTGCTTCTGAGTGGGTTAAATCTGATGGTCTTTAACCTGACTCTGAAATAGTGTAGGTCTGACTGTGTATACTGTGAACAATAGTTCATGAAGCCCTCATAAATTTAAATTGAAGAAATGAAGCCAAACTTTGGAAACTCAGACTTGCAGTCAGTGTCAGAAAATTAAATTCCTCAGCGTCATCACCCAACCAGAGGTGCTACATCATCATCTAATGGTTAAAAGCATGAACTTTGGGACACATAAGCTGGCCCTGTAGGGAAGGCCCTGGCAACTAGTCTCCACAGGTCCTAGTATCTTGATCCAAGAAACAAAAATAATAATAATAGCTCCTCTAAGGATCACTGTAAAGAGCAAAGGGCAAGGCATTGCTGAAGTGATCTTAGCTCCATGCCCAGCGCAGTGAGAGAGCTGCGGAAGCATCAGCACTTTGGAGGGAGCTTATGGACAGAGTGCTTTCTCCCCTTGTTCAGCAACCTCTCCAGGGTCTAGTATAAAGTCCTAAGAACACTATAAACACTCAGAAAGTATTTCAGTAGCGCTTAGTTTGTGTGTGTGATATATAGGAAGTGGCAATGAAAAGGAGAAGCTACCAAAGCACACAAAAGGGCATATCAATACAAAATGTTATGCTACATGAAAGAAGCTTCATATGAGAGTTTAGACTGAATGGCTCCTTATCTATTGTCAAAATTAAATGAAAGAAGAAACAAATCTCCAAGCAAAAATGTTGTATCTGGGAGTAATACAAAAGTCAGACCTGCAATCTGGGACACAGGACACTGAGATGGTCTTTCTAATGTGAAGAGAATGAAGGAAATTTCTCAGGATAGAGAAGTCTACACAGGTTATTAGGAGAGAAGGTTGATTGGTAAATGAAACTGGAAAGCTCTGATTGGCAAGTGGAGCAGTTACCCCGTATATGTAGTCTTGAGAGTACAGTTGGCAGTTTCATCATCATTTGCAGCCGTTGCTAAGAAAAAAGTCTTAAAGACAAAAACAGGCCATTTGGTAGAACTGGCCTTATGGGATAGTTCCTGCAACAATTGATTACCACCACAGCATTTTCTCCCTGTGGCCTCTCAGCTCTATTATAGATGGATATGACAAGAATGTATTCATAGGGCCAGGGAGATGGCTCATAGGAATAAGTGCCTCCCTGGCAAGTGCAAGGGCCTGAGTTCAATCCCCGGTTCTGCAAGAAAAAAAAAAAAAAAAAAAAAAAAAAAAAGAGAATGTGTTCATTTGTATGATTGAGTTTCTGCATGAAGGCCTACAACCAACAGTATTTCTTTACAGTGAAGAAATGAGGCAAGTGCTTGTCAAAGGTGGTAGTGGCGGCAGTGGCAATTGACTCTAGAAGGCCACAGGATACTGTTGGTGGTGCTGGTAAAAGTTAATACCTTGTTTGTGGTAATGGCTACCCAAATTTATATATTTGTGATAATTCATTGAACTCTGTGCTTTAAATCAGTGCATTCTATTGCTTATAAATAAAATTGGCAAATAGAATATCATTAAGAGATATAGTAGAAAAAGAAGAAAATTATCACAAGTAATATCCACCTGTCTTTATTTTTACTAATGAATGGAAAGAGATGAATGTGAGGTCACAAAAATGGAAAATAATTGGGTTGATTACTAGTTGGGAGTCTTTGTCCAGAAAATGATGCTGGGGTTTGGGATTTTCTAATGTCAACCAAATAATATTATCATCTACAAAGTATACTAATGGAGTGTTTTAGGCTTCTCTCAGGAACAAAACTGACTGTTTATTGATGAGGGAATAGGATCTTTTGACTCTTCTTTCCTCAGTC